TGTTTGAAGAATCGCTGATATGCTCGCCCACAACTTAACAGTGCAACTTAACAGTTGCTAAAATAGTAGAGAGTTATGGTGGTGGTTTTTCTTATGAACAGATATTAGATTATTGCATAATTTTTGAACAGTTTAAACAGGTTATCTGACACAGCAACAGCCAGTTTTCTGCTTTCCCAAACCCAAAACACCTCAATGAGGTTAGCAATTCAAAAAAATTGTCAAGAGATCGTGATTCTACCAGAATGTCAGGGATCGGGGTGTGACAGACAGGCCTTGGGTCACCCTTCTGGAAACCTCATAGCAAATCATGGAGAAACAACCAATCAGAAGGGAGTGAAGAGTAAAAAGGTATAATTTGACAGTTTAACTGCCAGATAGGGCCTGGCTAGGGAAGTAGATGGGTGGTTAGGGGGTTGAAATTAAACCAGTTTAATTTCCTTAGGGAAAGGAAGAGATTTAAGAAAGGGGCTGGAGGCATTTTACAGACAGGGTAAAGAGGATAGCCCATTCTCATAGGAATTGGATTTATGAGAAACAATATTTTAGAGGAAAGTTATAAGTAAAGTTTTTAATTACATCTGTAAAAGAAGTTTTGACTGAAACAAAGTATTGTGCCTTTACAAGCAGAACCATTAAGCTTTATTCCTCAAAGAGTGCTTGTTAATAAAATTCCAGTTTTGTTTCATTGTGCCTCATCTTTAATTTATTCCCAGTTCAACAATAACTGGTCACAGTACCCCCAAAACAACCATGAAAGTCTTTGCATATAATTAAATGCTACTCTAGAAGCCCCAAATTCATAGGGATTCCTGACAGGGAGTATCTAAGTTCAAATCACACAGACTCGATCATGTTACTTCACCACTCTTCCTCCTTTTGCTCGCCTCCCCGCCAGACAGGGCCAGCTCAAAACATGTTGCTGCCTGAGGCAAATCTGCAAACTCGTCTCAGCTCAATATGCCAGTTGAATTATTTTTGCATCAGAGACAGGGAATTCCACAAGCACCTCTCCTCTTCCATGGCAGTGAGAACACAACAATAATAAACACGTAACCGTTTGCTACCTTTTCATGACACCCAAAATCGGCCGCCTGAGGTCGCTGCGCCACTCTGCCTAATGATAGAGACACCTCTGCCACACACTCTGGGAGAATGAGCAGGAGTCGGCAATCGAAAGGAGGAAGAGGTTTTCTGGAGGAGGGCACCAAAACATCTTGCCAGACCCACCCATTCACTATTGTAGGGTTCTCCTCCCCTCTCCACAACATTGGTGTGATAAAATGTGACTATCCACCCATGAGGTAGCAGCCTCATGCCTGGTCAAAAGTATTTTGTCCATCTCCTCTGACCACAAATTGCTCTTTGAGGCTCAGGCAATAATTTTTCAATTCACTGGTCCCTTTCAAGTTAGAGATGCCAGGGTTTGAATCTGGAACCTTCTGCCCTGAAAGCACGTTAAAGGTAAAGGTAAAGGGACCTCTGACCATTAGGGCCAGTTGCAGATGACTTTGGGGTTGCGGCGCTCATCTTGCTTTACTAGTCGAGGGAGCCGGTGTACAGCTTCCGGGTCATGTGGCCAGCATGACTAAGCCGCTTCTGGCGAACCAGAGCAGCGCACGGAAACGCCGTTTACCTTCCCACCAGAGCAGTACCTATTTATCTACTTACACTGGCGTGCTTTCGAACTGCTAGGTTGGCAGAAGCAGAAACCGAGCAATGGGAGCTCACCCCGTTGCAGGGATTCGAACCGCCGACCTTCTGATTGGCAAGCCCTAGGCTCTGTGGTTTAACCCACAGACCACCCGCTGTGGCAAATACATAAAGGTCTCATGCTCCATTTGACCAATTCC